CTGCTCCGGGGGCCCTGCCTGTGTCAGTCTGGTAGCCCCACCCCAGCTCTGGGCTGGGAACTGCTGCAGAGCCTGGGGCCATGGTTGTGTCAGTCACAGGGACCTGATCTGCTTGGTCTTGGGCAGACCTAAAAACCTGCTCCCTTTTGTCAGAGGTCAGGGTGGAAGAGAGGATCACTTGTAATCATGGCAAGTAAGGTCACAGGCTTGGGTAAGATAAGGAAACTCTTTGGTGTAGGTGGTGGGATTGTTAGTGAAAGAGCCAGAAGCTTTTCAGTCTGGGAGAGACCAGACAGAGAGGAAGGACCATGGACCCTAATTCCTCCTTCAGTCCCCGCCACTTCCCTGAGGGGACCCAGAAGAGGACCACCCAGAGCGGGTGTGGCAGCTAGGAGGTGAAAAAAAAGAGGGGAGGCCGGATTGGGGAGCTGGAGGAGGTGAAGACTGAGAACTAGAGGATCAGAAAACGTTGAAGAGGGTCCAGAGAGGGGAGAGTGAGAGGAGTCTCAAGACTTGGAGAGTGTGGCAGGTTTTCAGGAGGGAGGGGCTGGAGGGGGGCACGGGAGCACAAGAGAAAGCCAGCCTGGCCCGAAGGGATCTCTGACCATTTCCATTGCGGTGACAGAACTCTAGGTCTGCAAGGATGGAGAAGTCAAAAGCGCCATGCTAGGCCCGTGGGAGCCATTGTCCAATTGGTATGGAGGCCACGCAGCGCTGCAGTAAAAGATGAGACGCTTAGGGCACATATCTGGCCGAAGCCCCAAGGGACCGAGGTTTGAGAGAAGGCATCTGCCGCGAGGGTGATAGATAAGCTTCAGTCAGAAGTTGGCTCTCAGAGAGAATTTTATTCCTATATTGGTCACACACACACTTACGTTCATACAGGCAAGCCAACCCCAAGTTCCCAAAGTACCTTTGACTGAAGACAGTGGCTGCTACGTGTCTCAGCCGGGCCTTCCACCTAGGTGGAGGTCCTCTGGCTGTGGAAGTCTCTAGGCTCGAGGGCCTGCAGTGCAGATGGTCGCGCAGGGTGTTGAACTGATAGGCCGCTTGTGCTGCTGTCAGGGAGCAGGCCTTCAGGGAGCCTTTGAAATTCATCCTGGGGTGCAGCCCCCATCCCCCTATGTGTGTGCTGCTGGGGCAGGGCAGCTGCCTTGGGAGCTTTGGAACCAGATCCACCACAGGGCAGAGGAGGTCTGGACCCTCCTCCTTATTGTGGCAACTGAGTCGCCTTCAGGAAGGCTCAGGTTGTCTGATGGCTTTGGAAAGCCTGAGGGTCCAAGCCACAGCTCGGCCCAGAGCCACCTTGCAACCAGGCAGGTCACAGAGCGCCTTGCCCTCCATGCCCGGTGTTGCTGTGCCTCAGGTAAAGCACCGAGGCCCGCCTGCAGGCCTGTGGACCTGGGCCTGTTTCTCCTTAGGGCCACCTCCCCTTTACAGCCAGGGGACCTCAGTGTCTGCTGACCCAGGCAAGTTGGCTTCTCTGAGTTCTGCTCCAGCTGGGCAGTAAAACTCGCCCCACAGACCTGCCTGCCCCCCGCATCCTTCCACTGATGCTTGCTCTTCTGCTTTTCCACACCAGGAAGGGCCCAGCCTCACCTATTCAACCTGTGGTCCCCCGGCCAGCTGAGGCTCCCCTCTTAGACTTATAAGCCTGTGGCCACTGGCATCCAGACTCCTGCCCTCCCAGCCTCCCCAGGGTCCATATGGAGGACTCCTGGGCTTTCTGCCCACCCAGGGGGCCCCCAGTGCTCCCTCCAGCCATCCTCTCAGCTCTGCCCTCTCGGGGTAAACAGTGGTATTCCGCCTGTCTTTCTCCATCAGAAATGGTGGTGTCGCGTGGGGCCCGGGGCCCCCTACTCCCGAAGTTGAGGGTGGTCCTGGGCCAGCGGAATGAAAGACAGGGGAGCAGAGAGGAGGGAGCAGGAGGGAGCCGATCACATGTCTGGCTCACGGGTGCACTGTCTGGTGTGTGTGAGAGGCCGGTGAGCGTGCAGGGAGAGGCTCCAGCTCCTGCTCCTGCACCCCTCTCCCTGTCCCCCTCCCCTCTCATCCAGAACCCTGCCCACACCCTCCCCTGCTTCGTCTTCCCTCCCCACCTCCCCCCAGCGCTGCAGCCCAGGCTGCACCTGCCTTCCCAGCTCTCCCCCTTCTCTCCCTCCCCCGTTTTCTCTCTGCTTCTCTCCAGCTGCCAGCTGATCGGGTCAGGCGAGTCCATCCCATCCTGAGAGCCCCAGGGCCCCCTTCGGCCTCTAACCAGACCCCTCCTCTTCCTGGGACACCTCTCTTCCCAGGCCTGCCTGGGTGGCTGTTCTGTGACTTGGCCCCCAGCCCCCAAGCCTCCCCCTTCATCTGTGACTTTAGTCTGTTGTGGTGGTGAGCTGACACCCCAGGCATGACCTTGGTGACACTTGTGCCCCCGCTGTGGTATTGCTCCTGCCCTGCTCTATACATGTCTATAAATACACACACACACACACACATTAATGTGCACATCTCTAGTGTTGGGAACCGCTGTGCTGTGCTGTCCTTCTGAGTCTTGTGGCCCAACTACAAGCAAACGCTGTCACCCCAGCCGCCCCCGCCAACACTTGCCACCTCCGACGAGCCTCCCTGCCATTCCCGGCCTGTGCCCATTCAGCACCCCTGCCACCTTCCTGCCCCTTCCCCGAGCATGGGGGTGCTGTCCCGGCAGCTGTGTGCTTCTGGCCGCGACCAGTCCTGCTGTCTCTTGGCTGAGAATGAAACCCATTTCTGAACAATGGGGAGCAACGTGTTGTGTGCTGGCTGTGTTCTGTGGCGTTCAGGGGGAAGGGAAGTCTTAAGCATGGGGGCACAGGGGTGCCTGGGATGCCCCAGTCCTTCCCGGGCTGCTCGGGAAAGCACCTGGATGTTAACTGGTCTTCATCTGGACCCTGCTGTGGCCACCAGGGGTAGAGTGCCAGCCTGGAGGAATCATGGGGCCTGGCTGGGGGCCCCAGAGAAACAGGGTGAGAGGAGAAATTCCTAGGCTGGAAGCCAGTACTCTGGGGTGCTGGTACCCTGCTTTCCTTCCACAGAAGTAGACCAGGTTTCCCAGTCTTGGCCCTCCCGGGGTGGCACGCAGTGGGTGGCACCTGTAGGGCCTGAGAGCTGAGCGGGGTTGGATACCCTGACAGGCAGCCGCAGTGCGCACCTCGAACCCCGAAGCCTGCCCTCGGCTGGCAGGGCCCACACCCAGCGCAGCACCTGAGCCCAGATCCCAGGGCCCGACCACGTGGTGAGTTCGGTTTATTCAGAAACAAAAGTGAAACACCAGGAACCACTCCCTGGCCTTGCCTCCTTCCTCTGTCCTGGGCGATCTATAAATAAGTTTCCTCGATGTCAACTGATTCATAGAAACCTCCTCTCCCAGGGGCCACCGCAGCCTCCGCTGTGATACAGGGGCCGTCTCAGCCCCATGTACACACGTCCCAGCACAGTATGTACACCGCGGGGCGCCCGCGCGCCTTCCGCCTGGCCTCCACCAGCCACCCCAGCCCGGCTTCTGGCCAAGCCCGGTTTTCCACAGGGTTGGGGGAGTAAGTGTGTACCCCCAAATTGCCTGAGTAAGCCATGCATCCCCTCTATGGGGACTTTTTATTAAAGAAGCAGTGAAGGCCACCTCTGTGCAAATCCGGGGTGGCCTCCAAGATAATCAGGCACAGAGGCCCACGGGACTTTTGTAAAGACAGCAAGTGGAGGCCACCCCCTTGTGGACTGCGGTGGCCTCATACCTGCAGGACATTTGAGAGGAGGGAAGGGGAGGCCACCCTTTTGTGGATTGGGGTGGCCTCATGCCCGCGGGACTTTTGTGAGGGGGCACAGAGGGGAAGCCACCCCTTTGTGCATTGGGGTGGCCTCATGCCCACGGGTCTTTTGGGAGGGGGGACAGGGTACACCACCCCTTTGAGAATTGGGTTGGCTTCATGCCCGCGTTTCTTTTGTGAGGGGCGGGACAGGAGAGGCCACTCCTCTGTGGATTGGGGTGGCCTCATGCCCATGGGCCTTTTGTGAGGAGGGAAGGAGGAGGCCACCCCTTTGCACATTGGGGTGGCCTCATTCCCACGGGCCTTTTGTTAGCCGGGACAGGTGAGGACACCCCTTTGAGGATTGTGGTGCCCTCATGCCCGCGAAACTTTTGTGAGGGGGACAGGGTAACCTCAAGCCACAAGACTTGTGTAGTGAGCAGAGCCCCCCTTAACAGGTGGGTGCCTACAAAATAATCGGGCACACATGCCCATGGGGACTTTTGCTAGGTAGTAGGAGAGGCCTCCCCTCTGCAGTTAGGGATCACCTCCAAAATAATTGGGTGCAACAAAAAGTAAAAAGAAAAAAATAAAGAAAATCAAAACAATTATTGAGTCCAACAAAAAAGTAAAAAAAAAAAAAATTGGGTGCAAAGGCCCGTGGGGAAATTTCAAAAGGGAGCAGGGGAGACCACCCCTTTGTGGATCTGGGTGGTCTCAAATAAACCACTGCTATCTCTTGGCTACACTCTAGACAGGTGTAGGTGCCCACCTGCCCAGCTGGTATCTCTGTCTGGACTTAGCCCCCATGCCGGGCCTTCAAAATGCTGCCCCACTCCACATGGTTGGGGTAGGGTGGGGGTGGCACGTGGCCCCAAATTGCCTGATATAACCTAGGCCCTCTGCAGGAAGGCCTGGTAAGGATTCAATTGGTCATCAAGGAGCCCCTATGTTGTAGAAGGGAGCCCCCTAAATAACTAGTTGGATGTTTCTAGCTCCTTGTCTCTGGAAGTATGAATAGCCCAGAGATTAAGACACAGCCCTGACCTAAGAGGCTAGGGTCTACACCTGTTTCCCCCTATTAGATAGGGGAGTTGTTGGACCCCTTTTTTAAGCCGAGGGATGAAAGGACAACTGGGAAGGAGAGCCAAAGGACGGGGGGGGATAGCCTGGGAACAGGGATGGGTTGGTGAGGGCCAGGTGGGGGCAGAGCCCCCGGCCCATGCCGGTGGCCTAGACCACCATTATCTTCACCTTGTTGTCATCAGCCTGGTAGAAGAAGGGAATACACCGGCTGTTTCCAATGGTGACGCCTTCCTGGGGGTTCTGCATTTCTTGAAGCAACTGAATGATCTGCTGCACAGAGGTGTTCTCGAGGGGAGTCAGGCCCAGATGGGCCTCGCCCTGGGTCGGCTGCACGTCGTGGACGAGGCTCACCTCACTCCGTGCTTTAGAGAGACAGAGACAGGATGCTGTGTGCCTGGCGGAGTGTGCTCCTCCTGCCTAGATGCCCGTGCGGGGCTTTCCTCACCTTGGCCGCTGGCAGCACCAGGCTCCTTGGGGGCTAGGCATGCGCTAGTGGGCTCAGCAGCAGGGTTCTGGGCAGGTGCTTGGAGCTTCACCCGCCATTTGTTGTGCACCTCCACCAGCCACAAAACCAGCTCTTGCAGCTCTAACAGCTTCACCTGGAAGCAGAGACACTCAGAAGCCCGCCCTGCCCCCAGCTGCACCACCATGGAGCCAGAGCTCTGACTACCTTCATCTCCTCTTTGTTCTGGGCCAGCTGGCTTATGGACTCCTCCTTCTCTTGGTGCTCCTTCCTCATCACTGCTCTCTGGGTCTGGTAGAGAGCAATGTATTCTCCTAGGGGGAGGGTGTGTAGATAGCTCAGCTGCTGGGGTCTCCCCAGCCTCTGCATAGCTCCCCAGCTGCAGGGCACAGGCCTCCCCACTCACCGATGGTGTCAGTCTCTCCAGACATCTGGATACATCGATGCTCCAGCTCCTCCATCCAGTCCTGTAAGTCCACTTTCTCCTGAATGAGCTCGGTAAAGTGACCCTGCAGCCAGACAGTGGGCTCAGGGGCTCAGCAGTGCTGGCCTGCCCAGCACCCAGCCCGCCCAGCCCTCCGGAGAACCACACTGTAGGGTAAGAAAAAACTATCAGGCTTTTCTGCCCTCCCGCCATTTGGATAGAAGACGGAACCCTGTGGTTCTGAATGCAAGCCTGATGCAGGCACCTGGAGTATGCTGTGGGCATAGGTAGATGGGATTCACCTGGGCTAAGATGGGCTTTTAAGGGTGGCGTCCCTGGGACGCCAGCAGAAGCAGAGAAGCGGAAGCAGAACCGAGAGAACAGAGCAGCAGAGACCACCAGAGAACACCGGAGAGCCCAGAAAGAATGAAGACTTGCTAGGGGCTGGGAGGCCTGTCAGCCTCCCAGCCCCCCAGCACCCCTACTTGCCATGTACATGGTAAATCCCAATAAAAGCCTGCAAAAGCCACTGAGGCTTCCAGGACTCTCTTCTCTTGGACCCGGTCTGCTAGATCAGAAAACCTGCCCCGTGTCCATTCCTTTCTGCCTTACAATTGGCGTAAGTCGGCAAGGTGATCCATGCAGACGGGTATGGAGCCCTCCGAAGACCGGGAGGGACTGAGGAGCAGCAGACAGTGTCTGCCTGTGACAGCGCTGGACGTGTCATGGCGGCACAGGGGATGGAAAAGGTCCGGAAGCTGCGGGATGAGACCTCGCCTGGAGGAGGAGACGCCCGAGAGGACCAGCCAATGATCCCCGAGGCAGCAAGAATCGTCGGGAAGAAAGGACCACGATTCAGAGCTCCCCAGTGTGGACAAAGGGAAAAGCCGATGAACTTGGACTAATGGACTAACAATCCCGCCAGAAGGGGGAGGACCTTGGCAAGTTTGATATGTTTTGGGGACCCTGGGGGAGGATGGGATTGTACACCCCCAGAGATGGGAATCTGGGGGTGGCCAGTGGGCCTTGGTGGCCAAAAGCAGCCAGTGTATTGCCCAGTAGCCAGGCAGAGGAGAAAAAGCCAACTGAGAAGGCAAAAGCTGGTGCTAAGTTCGGGAAGCCCTGAGCGGCTGTTAAGCACTGTGTAAGCTAAAGAAGGCCAGTGAGTCTCTTAAAATCACCTGTGGGTGTTGCCCTGTTCATTGCTGAGTGAGGGTGAGGAGCTGAGGAACCCGTCCTTGGGGGACGGGCAGGGAACGTGGCTTGTGGTGGGGCCCTCAGCCAAAGAGGGGACCCAAGAGAGGCCGCATGTGGCGCTTGCAACCACAGATCCCCGACCCATGTGCTTGTGCAGTGGGCTGGCCTGAGGGCAGGGGCCTGCGTGTCGCATTGGTGGCTATGAAAGCCGAGTGTTGGAGCGACTGCAGACAGAAACCCTGAGGGTTGGGCGATTACCCCCAAAGAGTACAGAATCGCCAACCCAAGAGTGAGTGCATCCTGGGGGTGGATGCAGTGTGTGGCTTGTGGCCAAGACCCCAGCTGGAGGGGGCCAGGAGGCCTGAGGGCTCCTGGCCAGTGACGGCAGATGCCTGAGTGGTTCCCTCTCTCGCATGAGCAGTGCCTTCGGCAGCTGAAGTGGTGGATCATCTACTGGTGCCAACAGTCTTTTGCCCCCAGGTCGGTGCCCTGCCTGGACTTATTTGTGTTCTGTTATATTACATTGTGATGTATTTCATTTGCTTTTGTGGGCCATGGCTGCAGTGTTCATATTCGCCAAGAGAAACGTGTGTATAACTCGTATAGACTGTCTGGCAGGTAAAAGTATCAGGCTTTTCTGCCCTCCCGCCATTAGGATGGATGATGGAACCCTGTGGTCCCGAATGCATGCCTGATGCGGGCACCTGGAGTAGGGTGTGGGTATAGGTAGATGGGATTCACCTGGGCTAAGACTGGGCTTTTATTTATTTATTTATTTATTTATTTTAAATGAACTTTGTGAAGTCTGTCTCTTTTTTTTTTTAAAGATTTATTTATTTATTCATACAAACACTGGGTACAGTCAGAAGTGCGGGAGGGTGAGAGAATTCACCAGAGCCAGAGCGGGGAGCAGAGCAGGCAGAAGGACTGAAGTACACTGCTGAGGGAGCAGCGGGCGGCAGGAGAGGTCCGCGCGCCATGTGGGACCCTCGCCCTGCGGCCAGGAATCAAACCGGCACCGCGGAGGCTGCGGGCAGCTTCAGAACCCAGCCCTCAACCGCTGTGCCACCGGGGAAGCCCAAGACTGGGCTTTTAAGGGCGGCGTCATGGGAATGCCAGCAGCAGCAGAGAAGCAGAAGCAGAACCGAGACAGCAGAGAAGCAGAGACCATCAGAGAACGCCGGAGAGCCCAGAAAGAGTGAAGACTTGCTGGGGGCTGGGAGGCCTGTCTGCCTCCTGACCCCCCCAGCACCCCTGCCTGCCATGTACCCGGTAAATCCCAATAAAAGCCTGCAAAAGTCACTGAGGCTTCCAGGACTCACTTCTCCTGTACCTGGTCTGCTGGATCAGAAAACCTGCCCTGTGGCCATTCCTTCCTGCCTTACACACACTCACCTGCAGTTTCTCCATGGCTCCCTGAAGGGCCCTGTGGGTCTCCCCAGGCACACTCTCCCCACCATGGCCTCGCGGCTGTCTAGGTCGTCAGGGATGCTTAGCTTTGGCAGGGGGCCCTTGTTCTCTTCCTCCTCCTCCTCACTGCTCAGTCCATTTACTGTTGGGGGGCAGCCAGAGGGGCTCAAAGAACACCTGGGTTCTGAAGCAGCCCGGAGAGCCAGCAAGCTCTGCTCCCTCCTCTCTGTGCAACCCTGCGCCAGCAAGTCCCCAAAGGAGAAGGATCCAAGTTGTCCTAAGGGTGGCTTCCACTCTTGCAAACCCCTCCTCTGCTGAAGTCCCACTCACTTTCTCCAGTCCGAGCCAGGAGGTTCAGTGGGGCCGACAGGAAAGAATGAGAAGGGATGCTGCTCGCAGGTCTTCCTGCTCGGGCAGCCACAGGGTGTCTGGCACTCCAATTGCCCCACCTGTGTTTCCAGCAGCTCTTGGCGGGCCAACTCGACCTCCATCTTGCCCTGCTCTTCTTCGTGCTGTATCCAGTTGACAAGCTGGGTGTTAAGCAGCACCTGCTTCTGCAGGACGTCCTTCTCGTTGGCCAGCTGCTGGTAGGCAGCCACGAGCTTCTGGTAGGCGGCCATGTACTGCTGAAGGTGACTAAGGTAGTGGTCCTGCTGCTGCTGCAGCTCCTGAGCCTCTTGATATTTCTCCTCCACCTGCAGGACGCGGGGGGTGAGGGCAGGTGGCAGTTGGCCTCCAAATTGTCATTGGAACCCAGCTGCCTCTGCTAGACGCTACCTCAGGGAGACCAGTAGTGACCATCACTACTGACCAGTGCTGCTCAGCACTCCTGGTGACAGGGGATTGGAACCCTACTTGTACTTCTGGTGGACAGTACCTGGCTGAGGTAGACACCACTTGTGGCTACAGTAAGCTCCGTTTCCCATTTGTAAAATAAACCCCAAGGTGGTTGCTTACAGAGGCTGAAGTCTCTTGCAATTGTGCACATGGTTGAGAACCACAGTGATGAGTCCCCTACCGGGCACTATCCTTCCATCGGCTCTAACCTGTAGGCCCCTATCGTATGGGGTCTGTATTGCTCCAGCCTTTGGTTTTGACTTTGGGGCTTTTTGGCAGCTCTCTTGTCTTAGAGGCTGGGCAGGTGGGTGCGACTGCGGCCTATCCTGGCATCCCATTCATGCCCTGTGACTACCCTTTTCAGTTGGGATCCCAGGTGATGTCAGAGACACAAAGTGTTAAAACGTTCTTTGTGAGTTGCTGGACAACACCAACAACAAACAGCTCTTTCAGACACGAGGCCGGAGCCTTTGGTGCTGCTTTCCGGTGATGTCAGACACAGGACTGGAGGCCCAGTCTCTGACAGAGGTCTTCATCCTCTCTTCCTCCCGCAGAGGTTGGCTACTGGATGCTGCTTTTCTTCTTTCAGCTTCTGGCCCTCCTTTCTTCAGAGGCCAGGAACAGAGTCTTCCCCTTCTTTCTTTGGAGGTTGGAACGGAGCCCCTCAGCTCCCTCTAACCCTGGCTTATATCACTCTTCAGGGTGTCCCAACATCAAGTCTGGTTGGACCATTTTTCTTTTTTGTGCAGAAGAACTGGGGTATTGGCCAGAGGTGTAGAGTGAGCAGAACAGACAGACTGACTGAAACACACTGCTGAGGGGAGCAGCCGGCAAGGCAGGAGAGGTCTGCTGCGCCCTGTGGTTCAGCTCCCGGCCAGGGATCAAACTCAGGCAGCAGTGGTGATGTGCCGAGACTTAACCCCTAGGCCACCAGGGAGGCCCTGGACCATCTTCATCCTTGGCTGACTGGACCACTTAGCACCAATCAGCTCAGAGCTTCCACCTGATTGGTCCTGCCCATAACCCAGGAAGCGTGCAGAAAAGGGCAGTTCTGAGCAGCAACTGTCTCAACGGACTTGTGGTGGAGCAACAGAGTGGAGACCACCGAGGCAACTCCCAGATCTGCACCCACAAATGGGGGGGGGGACAGGCACTGTGGGACTTTGCCACCTGCCCAGGCCCCTTCCTTCAACTGCAGCAGAACTGCTTTCTAGTGCTCTCTGAAGTGAAGAATGTTGAGGCTCAGCCCTGTTCAGTGAAGCGCAACCCCGGAGCCAAGTCTGGAAAAAGGATGTCTCCACGTCTCCTTGTCTCTGCCTTAGTGGCTCAACCTCCAGCGGGGCAGGTGACCTGCAGTCCCGGGGAACCCACCACTCCATGTCAGACCCTGGGCACAGGTGGTCACGGACCTGGCAGGACTGCAGGGTAACCGGTGCCTCCCAGCCCTGAGTTGGAGCTACCTCTGTGGCCTAAAAACCTCCCTCCCGGAGGCCTCTGAGACCTTCCCAGCTGGCACAGGACTTACCAGCTCCTTTAGCTCTGTCAGCTTCTCCTGCAGCTGGCCGAGTTTCGTGGCCAGCTCGCTCTTGGTGTGCTGCTCCATTTGGAGCGAGCCGGTCACCTCCATGTTCTGATGGGACTGGACAGACAGAAGAAACAATGAGATGCCACCCAATGCAGCTGGAGACCCAGAGCTTGGTGTCCCCTCCCACATCAGGATGAGGTCATCTTCCAGCCCAGGGCACCCAGGCACCTTACCTTCTTGCCAAGCGCTCTCTGGGCTCCGATATCCTGATCATCTCCTGCACCCACCCTCTGCCGGGACTCCCACGTCACCTACACATCAGTCTGAAAGGCCACCCCCTCCAGCCTCCAGACCCTTCAGAGCCAACTGCTCCCTCAGTTGCCACATCCCACCTTGCCGCCTAGCAAAGTGTCTGCTGCCAAGGGCCCATGGGAGATGGTAAGTGTCCAGTTGATTTTTAAAAGACAGTGGGGAGGATGTCCCAGTCACTCATCTCTGGTGAACCTCAGGTACTTTGCAGTTCTGCTACAAAACTCACCTGAACCCTTGTACCTGTAACAAAAGCCCCCTTTCTCCTAAGCCTGCATTTCCCACTCCCAAGCTAAAATTGAATTCATCACTTTGAAAAATCAACCACTATGTGCATTGTTGGTCTTTGGGGGACATGCCCCCAGAGGGCAAGCCCTGTGTGTGTGTGGTGTGGGGTGGGGGGGAGTTATTGACACTCTCCCGGTAGTACGGGCCACTGAGCATTCACCCTGGAGGCTTGGAAGGCCCAAATCTTTCACACTGCTCTGGAAGCTCTTCCCAAATGACCTTTCACCCTTCACGGTGTATTCTATCTTCTCCAAGATGATAAAGATGTGCGGGAAGGAAAACAACAACCAACCAAGCATTTGAAATAGCAGACATGGACACACCGAGGGTTAATGATGGGAACATAAAATCAGCCAGAGGCCAAGTACCCCAACCAGACAAGCCTCGGGCATGCACGCTGGGAGAGGGCAAGCCAGGGAGGGGGTCTTGGCACGGCCTCACCTTCCTCCTGTCAATGGGGGGAGCGCTACCCCATTGGAGTGGTTAAGGTTGACACAGCACCTGCAGAATGTCCTGAATCTACAGGAGGTGAAAAGGGAAAACAAGGGCAAGGGGAGGAAGAGAAAAGTGACTTAGAGAAGAAAAGAAGGTCAGAGAAAGAAAAGAGCAGCTCTGGACAATGGATGCCGGAGACAAGGGTGACGGATACATACCACGGCCTGTGCCATCTTTCCAAACGGCCACTCTCCGCCTCGCCTGAGGCAGAAAGCAATGTGAACCAAGAGATGGATCAAAGCTACCAAATCAGGCTGGAAGACACTGATCTGGCCCAACAATATCATCTTCCAGGTGAGGAACCTGAGACCCAGGAAGATGTGATTTTCCCTGTGATCACCCAGCAAGCAGGTGGCAGAGAAAGACTCCCACCTCAGAGGTCGCCTAATCCCAAGCGCCCGGGGCTCATCTTTGCCACCCTAAAGGGAGAGGGTGTCCTCACTGACTGGCTTCCCTTGAGGCTGGGGATGAGAGAAATTGCCAGAGCAAGAAGTCCATAGCGACGCCCTGTACTGAAGGCTCACTGAGCACCAGGCCCCGCACAAAGGGATGAATGCACAATCATCTCATGGATGCTGCCGAGATTTAAGTAGAACTGTAGCACCCTGACTCACAGGTGTACAAAGAACTTAAACAGTGTCACCCCAAATCAGATCCCCAGCAGAGCTACGGAGAGGCCGCACTCAGACCCAGGGTTCTTACCCACTTCTTTCATGCTCTTAAACGCTCACTCAGCTGCCCTGGAGCACCCCTTTCCCAGGAAGCCTGGCAGAGCAAGACTTACATCTTTTGATGACTCACAACCACCAGAAGCCTTGTCTCTGGCCTACTGCCAAGTGTCTTCTTTTTTTTCTTAACTCCTGCAGGAGACCCCAAGCTGTTTTCCTTTGGTAGTCTCTCAACTGCAGAGTCTCTCAACTCTCAAAGAGAGTTGAGGCTCACGAGAACTGCAAGCCCCTGTACTCACACCCCACTTTACACGTTAGATTTGCCACCTGACTTCATGCCACCAGAACTCTACCAGGTGCTGTGGGTAGTACCACGCCCCTCCAATGACGACGAAATGGACTGATAACATGGTTTAAAGAAAAAATGTTTAGGAATTTACACTCAGTCTTCAGACTTGAACTTCCAGGATGCCATGATCAGTAGCTGCCAGCGGGCAAAGCCAGCGCAGGGTGGAAAAGCAAGCATGTGAGTACTCAGACATCAGGGCCCTTTCTTATACATGTTACCCATTAACAGCGCTGCTCAAGCTCCTGCACCAATGGATGCTGATGGCACGAGGCAGTGAGGGGACAGCCAGGGGCACAGCCAGGCACATTTCAGAGCAATCTGTTACAATCTCACTTATGTACGCATATGTACATTAATACACAAGGCTTTTTTTCTCAAGAGAATGAAGCAGAATTGATGCTTCAGTCGCCTATTTATCCTGTGGCGTGCTGAGCAACCCATGTTGAGACGACTGGGGGAAGATTCCCAACTGGGAAGGTCAGTTTACTGGGATCTGATCCACAGAGGATAAACAGATCACTCCAAAGAGCACTGATTGGGGGGCACTCTGGCACCTGTGTCATAAGGAATTAGAATGTGAGATGGAGAAGTCAGACAAAAATTGGAAAGTCTCTGTGGAGAAGTAGAAACTCTGGAGAAAACCAAACTAAATATTTCTTCCCAGTGTCACCCAGAGCGGTTGTCAATGCTTCAAGTTTACTAGCGAAGCGTAGGCTTTGTAGGTGCTCAGTGTTTAAAGGTGGGGTACAGTACAGAGCAAGCAAGCCTGAACCCTCTCCCAGAACACCCATAAGTATGAGCTGCCCATAGTGACTAATCTCAAAAGACAATGGTAACTAAAGAAATGAAACAAAGGCTTTGCAGGAAGAAAGCTGGGAGACTCTACCTTAGCCTGGTGTTGAAGGTGAACACCCTCAGTGATCAGTCAGGGGGGCATGACTGCGTGGTGACTGACATGACTGATGTGTTGAGTGGACAGTGGCCTGCATCTCTGTGGTCTGCTTTCCCAAGCCACAGTCCCAGTCAAAGAAAAAAAACAAAAAACAAAAAACACTAAGTTGAGGGACAATGTTCCTGAGCAGTGCTCCTTGATAGAGGCTAAGAGTAGAAAATTGAGGATGGAGGGGTCACAAGACCAGAAAGTGGAGGTGGGGGTAGAAGGGATTAACATAGTAATTAAACCCGGTATAGAAAGGAATGATGCTTAGGGCAGCTGCTCGAGGGAGCACCAACTGCTCTGGAAAAGACCCAGAGGCGCAGACCAGAGGTGGGATGTGGGGATGGAGCCATTGCAAAGAATCACGCGTCCTTACAAATGAACCAAATGAAACTTGTCACCCCATAGAAGTAATTAATTTAACGACAGATGACAATTGCAGAAAGGAAGGAGCCCTCCCAACTAGAACACTACCTCAGGGCCCTTTCTGCCCTGGGAAGACTCAGCTCTGCTCCAAAGGCTCCGCCTGGGGCCTGCAGGCTTCTCCTCACACACCCGCTCTCTCCAGGGGCAGCTCCTCCTGCCTGCTGGTGTCTGCCCAGGCAGCTACTTCTTCTTTCCCTTTTTTTTTAAACTTATTTTTTAAACAATATTTGCTTCCCCCCATCCCTTCAGTTTGAGTCTCCATAGAATTTCCTTCCCCAAGGCACCTGTGCACCATCACCACAGTCCCCTGTGCACCTCCCTCCTTCCCTCTGATGCCTCTCCCTCCTCCTCTCCTGCAGGATGTCTCTATAATTGTTTTTGTTTTGTTGTCTTTTGTATTGCTATTATTTTTTTTACACTGATATCTTATTAGGCTCTCCCATATTCCTGTTATAAGTAAAACCATCCAATATTTTTCTTTTTCCTTCTGGCTTATTTCACTGAGCATAATTCCTTCTAGCTCCATCCACATTGCTGCAAATGGCATGAATTTATCTTTTTTTTTGATTGCTGAATAATATTCCATTGTGTATATATACCACATCTTCTTGATCCAGTCATCTGTTTTTGGGCATTTGGGTTGTTTCTGGTTTTACCCATTGTAAATAGTGCTGCAATAAACATAGGCGTACAGGTGTTCTTTTGAATCAATGTTTTTGTTTCCTTTGGGTAGATTCCCTGGTAGTGGAATTTCTGGGTTGTATGGTAGCTCCATTTTTAGTAGACTGAGGAAACTCCAGACAGCTTTCCATAGTGGCTGGACCAGTTTGCACTTCCACCAGCAGTGTAGGAGAGTTCCTTTTTCACCACATCCTCGCCAACAGATGTTGTTGCTTGTTTTTTTCATATGTGCCATTCTTACTGGTGTAAGGTGGTATCTCAGTGTGGTTTTGATTTGCATTTCCCTGATTATAAGGGATGTTGAATGTTTTTCATGTGCCTGTTGGCCATTTGCATTTCCTCTTTGCAGAAATGTCTTTTAAGTTCTTCTGCCTATTTCTTGACCGGATTGTTTATTTTGTTTTTATTGAGCCATGTGAGTTCTTTGTATAAATTTGTAATCAGTCCCTTAACAGTTGAATGGAGTGCAAAGATGTTTTCCCAATCACTGGGGTGTCTCCCTATTTTGGTTAATGTCTCTTTGGCTGTACAGAAGCTTTTCAGTTTGATGTAATCCCAGGTGTTTGTCTTCACTATGACTGCTTTGAGTGATGAGTCTTTAAAGATATTTCTGAGATGTATGTCTTATAGTGTTTTACCTATATTTTCTTCTATATATTTTATGGTTTCAGATCTTATGTCCAGTTCTTTTATCCATTTTGAGTTGATTTTTGTGCAGAGTGAGAGGTAGTGGTCTAGTTTCATTTTTTTACATGTGGAGGTCCAGTTTTTCCAGCACCATTTATTGAACAAACTGTCCGTGTTCCATCGCATATTCTTTGCTCTTTTGTCAAAGATTAGTTGTTCATAAAAGTGTGGCTTTATTTCTGGGTTTTCTATTCGGTTCCATTGGTCTATGTGTCTGTTTTTGTTCCAATACCAAACTGTTTTAATTATTATGGCTTTGTAGTATAGCTTGAAGTTTGGAAGTGTGATACCTCCTTTCTCCTTTGTTTT